GTTTAAAAAAATAATAATAATAATAATAACTAAGTATAATTTTATTGAGATTATAAATTAATTAATTTAAATTTTATTTAGACATTTAAAATTAAATGATTTAAGTGAATTAATTAATTATAAAAATAGTATTTATTTGTTTTACATATTAAAAATTAAGAGAAATTATTTTAAAATTATATTATTTCAATATTTTCACTTAAAAAGATTAAAACACTATATTTTTAAAGCATGAATTATATTAATTTTAATTTTTCTCATAATACCGTAATAAAATAGCATAGTTTTATATAAGAAGAGCACTATTTCCTTAACTAAGTTAATTAAAAAAATTAAATTAATTTTAAGTAATACCATAAAGTGAAATTCTAAGGCATTTAATTTCACTATAGACAAAAATAATTAATTATAAAATAAAATTTAAAGAGAAATAAATTTAATTTAACGAGATAAAATCTCCAATTATGATTTTTTTTATTTTGATATTGACTCCTTTGTTACCCTCTCCCTCTTTATCTTCTCAAAAAGATCTCGCGTAGTTTTGAATAGAAATTTATAAAGTGTAAGAAATCTTCTTAGAAAAAATGTAGGACCCATGACAATAATAAAAATTCTTAAAGCTATTTAATATTCTTTCTCATGTTATATTATATATATCTTCACTTATCAATTAATTATGTCTTTATTTAAATTTAAATAAATAAAAACATATTATATTATGTAAAATTTTTAATTCACATAAAAAATTAAGTATTTAACATCATAAAATAAAATTTAAAAGCAAATAAAATTAATTTGATGAGATATAAAATCTCAAGTGTTAATCTTTTTTTTTACATAAAATTCTTCATTTTCGTCTCTCTTATCTCTGATAAAACTCCTAGTCTAGTTTTAAATAATTATTTATAGAGTTTAAGAAATTCTATTAGAAAGAAAGATACATGATAACAATAAAGATTCCTAACAGTGAATGAAAGGGCGTTTAATGCCGACATCATAATGTAAGTGTTGCCACTTTTATTTATTTCACGCGAACCTGTGTTTCAAAGACTTTGGGTATGGTGTCGACACCACAAAGTAGGCATCGACACCAAACCCGTGTCGGGTTTCTCGACCTCTTTGAGATTTCAGTGGTAAAATGGCAGATGTAGTCCTCCATCTTTTATAAAATGAGCATCCTAATCCCATTACTTCAGATTCATT